GGGGGGGGGGGGGGGGGGCGCTCCTGGAGAGCCAGCAGACCTCACCCAGAAATTCGCTGTGCCAGTGCAAGCGGCCAGTGCTTCCCAGGCATCAGCCACTCACAATGACCCTGTTCCCGCGCTGCTCATCCAGAGCTGACAAGAGACACGTTCAAGGCTCGGCTACATCTGGAGCCCAGAAGAGAACAGCAAGAGCAAAAACCCTCCGATTTCAGGACAAAATCCGATTCCCAGCTGGGGAAGGGAGGGGGGTGTCAAGAAAAAGAAGCTTCCTTTATGTTCCTTTCCTATTTTTAGCCTGATTTCCTAAGGAAATGAGATGTCTGCAATCAAGTCCTCTGTCTTGCCTGTCCCTCGTCACTACTATTTTCAAATACATTGCCCAATTTCAGCCAAATCTGACAGTGAGGAAGAAGCCACGGAGAAAACTGTTTTCTTGCAAGTTTTGTGACAAAAAGTGGTCATGAAAAAATCAACCCCTGCATCTTGGAAGGCAGGAACTGGCAGGCAGGTCCTGGCTGGAGGAATCCAGAATAACTCTTTCTCTGCTCCCAAGGGCTGTTTGGATTCCTCTGGTGCCAGGATCCCTCGTGGCAAGAAGGTGCTGCCCTCACCTCGTGGGAGATCAGCCGGCACTGCAGCCCCATGCCAGGAGCCCAGCAGTCCCTCCACCTCCATTCCCCTTAATCTTGATTGCAGGAAAAGGGATTTTTAATTTGGGATTTTGATTGCATTAAAAGGGATTTGCAGGGATGCAGGAACAAGTGCACAGGAAGGATGGATTTAAAAATTGAATGTCCAGCAAGCAATGAAGCCCCAGGTTGGACTTTGGGACTCCGATAAGGCCTTTTAGACTGGTCTTGGCAGTTTGTGTTCTCCTTTGCCCAGCCAGGCCCCCTCTTCAGTTACTTTTGATCAGCTGAGGCACAGTTAAGCATTTTGAAGACATTATATAGGCTGAGAAGGATCTGCAGAGGTGGCCTGAAGCTCCTTTCAGGCTCAGAAGGCAGATGCTCTCAGCATGGAGAAGGCGTCTTTCAGCTCTGGGATGACCTTATGCAAAGGGCATCAGGCTCAGGATCCAGCGCCCTGGGCAACAACCAATCTCTTGTTCTCCGACCGCCGCTGACCTCCTCCTTCAGAGCCCAAATGGCTGGAGAGCACAAGGGCCGACCCAGACACCCGAGGGCAGCTCTGACCACACCAGTTCTGCCCTGTACAAGTGTTACTGGAACACCTAGCACTGTTCCTGCAGCAGGGGTGGCGTGGGGGGGCAGCGTTTCCATTAAGATGATCTCCTATACTCCTTTTGCCTTCAGGACAGAATACAAGCATTCAGCTAAGTCCCCCCAAAACTCTTCGGTGGCAAGTGTTTAAATCCAGCCAATCGTAGAGCAATGAAGTGCTTAGGCCACAGTGGAGCTTTACAGGAGAAACATCTCTGGCCAGCTTGCACACAGCTTCCTCCTCTCCCTCCAAAACACCGTGTTATTTAACTTCTCTCAGAAACAGAGAAAGTAGACTGACCTAGACAAGAACTTGTGTAAATTTGTTTCTTTTTCATCCTTAAGACTACAAAGCTAAGAGTGCTGCACCTGACAGCATCACGCTCACCTACAGCCCCGTGAGGCGCTGGCTGTGGGGAGCACCAGGTAACCCCGTAGTGCTGCAGCCCCTCCTGCCGAGAGCTTGGGGAGAAAACACCCCCTCACAGCCACCTCCCATGACCAGGCTGGTTGGGCCGCTGTGACCCTCTGATCCAACACCAACCGCTTCAGAGATGACACAGAGAAATACTTGACTTCTTCAGAAAAAGTTGGCTCGGGCCCCAGAGCTGGTGGGTTTATGTCCCTGACAGCACATCTGGGGACTACCCAGAGAAACTCCTCTTCACTCGATGCCCAGAGCCCCTTGGCATGGTGGGGAGCCACGTGGCCTCCCGGGTGTGCACTTAGTGCTGCTGCCTGCGCGGTCCCATGCTTGCCGGGGACCTTTCAGCTGGACGACAACGGAAACACGACTTTATCATCCGCAATCGCTGAATAAGCCACCTCCAGCGTAACAAAGCACCTGCGGCAGAGCCAGATGAAGGTAGGCTGAGCAGATATTGTTTTCTGTTGAAATATTTGTGGTCAGGCTATTCCATACTTGCCGTTTTTTAAAGATGTGGAATCTGCACCGGGAAAGGGGCCAAAGGCACCCATGAATCATGTCCCTGCAAACAAAAATACAGCAGAAATATAAAGTTGTCCTAAAGCTGACAAAGAACCAGATCACCTCAGGCTGCAGCCTCCGATCCTGGGAGTCCCATACCGCGGTCCAAACAAAATCCCCGCTGGATCCTTAGCTATTTTGAGTCCTCCCAAAAAACTTGAACTTTGCAGCTACTGAAAGAAAAGTGGTGTGTTTATTTTTATTTAGAAAAGGAAGATAAAATAAAAGCCAGTCCTTTCTCTTTCCATCAGATGACCCAAAGGTGCAGGATGATAGAAGATCCACGCAGAAACCAACTCAGTTTCAAGCTGACTTTGGACCCTGTGCCCTGTTTTCAAAAATGACCAAAGTATTTCAAAGCTTTGGTTCCCCAATGTTTAGCTTATCTTGAGCATCCACTTCAAGGTCTCAAAGCCCACCCTTCCAACTCGCATATCACATTTAATTGTCACTTGTTAATGACTATACAAACATTGTTCCTATTGGGACAACACTGCTAGCGTGCCTCTTGAGAGTTAATGTTGGATGGGGCCGTCAGGGAATGCTCTCCAAGAATATAACTGAAGCCATGCCGCCCTGTCAATAAACATATTTTTGGTTGCTATAGCAAAGCCAGCATGTAATTAAAAAGTGCTCTCAGACTTCAGGACCCTCTCCTTTCTCTGCGGCTTTGCAGATTCGCTCCATTCCTTCCGAAATCAAACCCTGACTTTACTTCAGCCACGCAAACGCTGCCAGAGCAGCCAGGCAGGGACGCGGCAGGCGCAGGGACGCGGGTCCCAATCGCTTCTCCAGCATTCTATAAATAGGGAGAGAGAAAATAGCTGAAAGGCACCTGGCCCCAGGGCTTGCTCACGCCCAGGCATGCTGGCTGCGCTCTGACTTCTCCCTCATGGGCTTTGCATCAGCCTGGGCCAGTGGTGAAGCACTCCCTTTCTCCTCTTAATGAAGTGTCTGGTTTTTATGGTCACAGGAGACAAGAAAACCTCTAGTGCAAGAGAAATCAAACCAACGCAGTTTCCTGGTGTTCCATTCTGTCTGTTGCTGAAAGTGTATTTCGACGCGCAGCCAAAACGTGGCAAGATCATGCTGAGAAAATAAATCTGGCTGCACATAAAGAGTTCAAAAACGCCTTCACAAAGCTGACAGGGGAAAAAAAGCACACCAAAGGGGTACACTAACAGCATTTCCCTTCCACCCCGGAGGCCCGAGCAACATGTCCTAAGAACTTTTCAAGCTGCTTTGCCACTTCAACTGGATCAGTGCCTGCAGATCATGACATGGCAGAGTGCGTGAACGTTAAACAGATCCAAAGATCACAACCAAGTTACTAAACCCCTTTGCGGGCCCTTGGGTCCCAAAAAGAGAGTTTCACGCACTTTTGTTTTTCTGCAGAAGCTGGCCGTTGGGAAGAAAGGACGCTGACACTCACCACATCTATCACACTTCATTAGGCTGCACAAATAACGGATCCTCACAACGGGAAGCCTGCGCGCTGCAAGAAATGGCTTCGCTTGTGAAGCTTATTTTAGAACACAGAACAACTTGCCAAGGGAAGGAAAAGGAACCCCATCACGTAGGTAATTTAAAACTTGTCCAGACAGAGCTCTGGAGATATGCTACAGAAAGCTATCCTATGCTGGTAGGATGACCAGCATAGGCCCTTTGCCCTTCAATCATGATGATGATCTTATTGTCAGGATGTGAAACCCAAATCCCAGCACCTCTAAGCTGCAGACTTTGCATCCGAGCAGCCCACCTGTTGGAGGGTTTAGAACAGCATTAGCCTTTTAAGTGATTGAAACCTTGCTCAAAATCAACTCTTGAAAGAAGCTGTATCTGAGGAGGAGGAAAAAAAACCCATGCAGCTGCAAAGGAATTAAGGTGCCACGGTCCATTGCTCTTAAAAGGGCACAGGATGACGTCAGGGCTGGGCTGACACGCAGCCAGGCCAGCAGTTCACAGATCCCTTGTGCACGCTACGTCAGGGCTTGACTGGACACCTCAGGATGGGGAAGGGGGAGCGAGGGGAGCCCAGGGGGGACAGCACAGCCGGGCACCCCCTCTGTTGCGCCCAGGGGTTCGTGCCCAACAGGGGGGGATGCGAGGGCCAACGCAGAGCTGGCAGAGAAGCAAAAGGCAGCTCCCGATAACCCTTCCTGAGCCAACCTCCGGCAGCCCAGCTGGCGAGAAAACAACGCTTCCTTATTGTGGAAAAATGTCAGCATTGCGAAGCCTGCTGTCCTCCTGCCGGAGCAAAGCAGAGCCCCACCAGCATTCTTCGAAAGCACCAGAGAGAAACCAGAACAGCCAGTGGCTTTGTGGCCGGTGGGCAGGGAGCACATGCTGGAATTCGGTGCTGACTCAGAGCAGACAGATGCCCCCTGTGCCGGCTCTCGAGCCTCCCCCCGGGCAGCCAGTCCTTATTTACAGAGTCAAACAGCATCGAGGGGAGATTACAGGGACAAACGCCGCAGTTTTGCTTTAGAGGCGCTGGATGGCGGGAACTCGGGCCTGGTTCTCATCTAACCCCCGTGGGTGTCCGAGCTCGAGAGGCTCTGGGCACAGCATCTCCAAATTCCACCCTGGTCTGACGTGCTGTCCAACAAGATGTTTTGTCCTAACAGATGAATTTCCACTATGCATCAGTGCTTAAGGAGGAGGGGGAAAAAGCCTGCTTTGTTCAGAAATTTCTGCTCTTAAACTATTTAAGTGTGGCAAACCATGTTTAGCAGCCAGAAAGAGGAACACAAGCAGCCACCCCCCAACGTGTGAAGCCAAATGGAGACTTGCAACTTAACTCCGGAGAAGAACTGGGGAATTCTGCTTCCACTTGGAACAGCAAAAAGCTTTTTCTTTAAATTCCCCTTAAGAAAATGTCAAAAATAATCCCCTTTTGCTTCAGTCTGAATGCATCATTTCAATAAAACCTGAACATTTAGCTCTAATTTCACATTGTAAAATTTTCAAAGCAAAACCCAGGACTTCCTAATATTGGTTGAATTATCCCTTCCTGAATTTTTCTCCCCCAGAACCACTGTGAAGCCACCCTCATTTCATATAGTGTCTCACTTGGATTAGAATTACATTCCCCAAGGGCTTTTTTGTGGGAACTGGTTTTACAGATCACATCAAGGCATTTGCTTTTTCTTTCGAATCAACCCTAGGCTCTTCCTCACAGTTTCTGAGACTTGAGGTCTCTTGTTATTTTCAAGCATTTCTCTGTAAGCGGGAAGGACAGCAAGTTCTCCCTACATCCTCTTCAATCCAAGACGTGCCGTTTCTCAGCCCCAGCACTCACACGCTTTACGGAACAGAGGGACCAAGAGGTTTCCAGGAAAACGGCTTCAGCTGGCGGTGCTGCTTCCGTGGCGGACGGCGAACAGCCCGGGAGCAAAGGCAGCGGCGAGTCCTCGTGCCAGCCCGTGCCATGCCGTGACTCACCGCCGCTGCCGGCGGCCGCACAGGAAGAGGTGGGAGATGAGCTTTGGAGAGGCCCCCCACTGCCTGCCACATGTAAGAGCCTGGGAACAAGGACACAGCGACCAAAGCTGGTGGCAGGAGGGTCCCTGCCCTCCTCCTCCCGTCGGCCAGTTCAAAGCTGGGTGCCCATCCACCCTCCTTGTACAGGCAGCAGAGAAGTAGCAGCATCTCCCAAGGGCCGTTCTGTTTGTGCCAGCAAGAGGGGAAGAGATGAGTCAGCCTCTGCAGATGACCCTCTCTCTCTCCCTCCTGCAACTAAAGAACTGCCTTAACCCAAGCACGCCTGGATCTTTCTCCAGCTGACGTCGAGCAAGATGAAAGGTGGTCTGGGCCACCGAGCTCGCTGCTTGCGGCACCTCAGGTGATCTCCTGCAGGTTTATACTTACTCGTGAGATTTGAAAGACACAAGACCCAGACACAGTTATGTTCAAAACCAACATTTCCTCCAGTACAGGGCTGTGGGCAACCTTGGCCCCAGGAAGGAATCACTTGGGGGGACAGGACACCCACATATGGACTTTCCCCTTGACTCCTGTGAAGGAAAGTATTCCCTGGAAGAGCGACAAGGGGAGCAGGGCCCACTCACCCCTCCTCATGGCAGCTGGAAGAAGTGACAGCTACCCTGCAAGCCTGCTGACAGCTCTAGGAAACTCCTCCTGGTTGTAATTACAGCCCAGAAACACATGCAGGCCTCGGCTGAATAAACCTGCTGAATCTAGTCTTGCACAAGCTGTGCAGCAAGCAACAGTGCTCAACCTCCAGACCAAGCAGAGAGAAAATACTGAGATCTAGAGATGAAAATACACCAGTAAGTTAAGCACCAGGTCTGTGTAACAGGCTGGAAATCAGTCTGAGCCACAGGTGTCCATTATTTTGATGGCAGGCAATTTATTGCTATGCAATGGACTCTTTGGCTCACCTTTAAGAGGTTTCTCAGCTGCAGCTCCTGTTGCTAACCTTTACAACAGATTTTCACCACTTTGCATGACTTGGGACCCTTAAGTCCTCTTGTTTCACCACTCTCTCCAGTCCCACATTTGCTGTGGGCCCAACTGTACCCCAGGCTATTCCCTGAAGCCCCACACCACCACGTATTATATGAGCAGAGCAGCAGGGCTTTTGTCAGAAGAGGTGGGTGGCAAAATTACACTTAGCACTTTTAAAAACACATTGCCTATTACCAGCAAGGCAAGCAGTCTGAGGGGAGTGGGGGGTGTGTGTGGTGTGTGTGTTTCCTGAGGACAGAGCAGCTCATCCAGCTGGGCTGCTGCCCCACCATCCCCCAGGGCACACACAGTCCAGGTGCAGAGGATCCTGCAAGGACACAGGGAACTAAGGACAGCAACAGGCTCTTTAAATTGTCTCATTATACACCTAGATCCTGCTTTTGGGCTCAGAGCCCCATCTCTGGGGCTGGGGAGGCAGATGGTCCTTTTCTCCCACAGACAGTGAAGCCTGAGGTATTTTGCAGACACAGCTGGAAGCCTGAACTCCTGAACTACAGAGATAGGTGCGTGGGTAAAGGTGCTGCCATGAAACAGCTTGACAGCTAGCAACGGATCCTGGGCTGCTTAAAACTCTTGACAAATAAGCATCATCAAGGCTGAAATAATAGTTTTAAAAAAGACTTCATTTTGGCTTTTTGAAAGGAAAGTACATATAGATTTCCATTCCCAACAACAGCAAGAAGTCCAGAACTTTCCAATGACAAAGCAGTTTTATTTCCATAATTACCTAAAGCAATAATAAACATGAGCCACACAACACCCGATCAATCACTCATGACAAACAGGGGAAAATTTCTATGGTGTTTATCCGAAGGACAGTCTGTGGGTTTATGATGACTGAAAAAGAATGAGAAAAGAGAAAAAAAAAAAGATGAGCTGAGAACAGAGAACTGCTGTATACCTTTTGGAGGAGGCTCCTGCTGGCTCAGCCACCTCAGGTGAAGACATGCCAAGGTGCGATGGCTGCCGGGAGAAGGGTACAGATGTGGCCATGGACCTTGGCACAGCATGGGTCAGGGCCCCAGGCAGAGCTCCCGTGGGACTGGGGCAGTCTGCTCCAGGTTTTAGCGTCCATTCCATTAAAAAAAACAGTTATGCTTTTCTCTCTCTGCCATACCTCAGAAGGGGCAGAGAGCCTGCCACAGGATACTGTTAGGACTTGCCAACACCTGTGATTACATATCCAGTACTTAAGGCTTGGGAAAGAGATAAGACTGCTTTTTGCTGCTTTTCTCCCCAGGATACCTTTTTTTTAGCAAGACCTTTCACAAGGCCACCTAACAAAGGGTGCTGGAGCAAGGGCAACTCAAGCGACTGTGCTCTGGACACAGCGGGACACTGGGGTGCCAGGAGGGGCCCTGGGGATACAGTGAATGAGTCTCCCCAGGCGCCATCCCTGTGTCATGATCCCTCCCCCTCCCAGATCCAGCAACAAAGCAGCAGGGAAGGAAGCTCCTTTCATCTTACTTTTCTTCCGCTGATAGTTGTGCCTCTTCCAAAAGCGCATGTTAATTTTTGGCCACGACTCAGTCTTTTCAACCACAGTAGCCTCCACACGGACAAGATCTTTCCTTAAAAATAAATTTTAAAAGTATTGCTTTTTAATTATCTACATTCTCCTCCTATCAGTGAGCAGGTTTCTGAGGAGCAGCCACATACAGACAACACCCCCTCTACTTTACAGAGCCCAGAGCCACGGGAACTAGAAAGTCACCGTGGAAGGAGGGCAACCCCCCCGGTTGCTGGCTTCACAGTGCGAGAAAAGCCTCGAAGTGCTGGACATGGATCAGCCAAGTGATGTGATCGTCTGCAGGGCAGCACCTCTCTGTCATGGGAGGGATAAGATCTGAAACACCTACAGAGCCAGTAGTAAGATGAACCTGCAGGAACTTGTACGATTATAGCGAGATAAATTCCCCTGGCACGTTCACATCATCTGATGTGTCCTACCTTGTTTACAGTACAGGGTAAACCCACCCATGGCCCCTCTGCTCAACACAGAACTCCTTCCTCCTTCTATAAAGCATCACAGACAGCAGGAGGAGAGTCTTCTCACCTTGCTCACCTGAATAAGTCCTGGCAAAGGCTCAGTGAAAGGGATCTGGCCCACTGTTTCTGGCAGGAAGCACAGCTAATTGGCTGCTGGAGCCAATCACTTCTCCTCCCACATGCCTCTCTTCTGCCTCCCACTCTTGGTCTGTCCTGCTTGTTTACCCCAAATTGAAAGAGAAGCTGGGGACTTGCTGAGGATTCCACATACTGCTCCCTGCCCTGCAGCTGGGGGAGTTCAGGCTGAGCGGCAAGACTGCTCTATGACTCAAAATATTTCTAAAGCTCATTTCTACACATGGAAATTCTCAGCAAGTAAACATCTTCCTCCCTGAGGATGGAGATGAAGAGAAGAATATGTCCCATACTTCTTCAAAGGTGAGCAAAATCACAGAGCAATCCATCCTCCCACACCACCTCACCAACAGACACACCTCTGTCCACCCGGGGCTTCTGCAGAGCTTCAAAAGAAGAAGTCCCATTGAAGTTAGGAAAAGAGCACTGGGATTTCCAGCTGCCATCTGAAAAACGCCAGAGCTGGAGAACAAGTTGGTCTGAAGGATGCTCTGGGGGACCAGCTACCTGTCTGCACAACAGCTGCTCTCTGGGAAGACAAGCACCTCCAGACAAGAGCTAGACTAAAGCTTTGAAAAGTGTGGTTTTAATCAACAGCCACAATGGAGGAGAAAGAGATGCTCTTCCATGGAGCATCACTGCAGAATACCACTAAACTCATTAGCATGCTCACTTTGCCATCGGAAGACATTTAAAGAACATTTTCCTGATAAATGACTGTCTGCAGTTAGTGGGGGCAGAGGGGGGAAGCCCATCCAGCCCAACTGTTCCAGCAAGGTCACCAGGAGGCCAAAGGCATCGAGACATTTGCCATCTCTCTGAACATCTACTCTCTGGGGTGTAATATATGTCAGAGACTGAATCCTTGAGGGAGGAGGGACAGCCAGCCAGAGGAGAACACTGATACATCTGCATTTAGTGTCTAGCTCAGAAGAAAACAGACATATATTAATCCAGATTTTAGGAGACCACTGGGTGACCCTGACACCCCAACTGAAGGAAGTTCTGCCCAGTGATGGGGCCCAACAGCACCACCAAGATACACAGCAGCTTTGCAACTCTAGGAAAGAAACCAGGGAGCAACCTGTGCTGCAGGGTTGGCTACCTTCTACCACTGCAATTAGGGAGCTATTCCTTCTGTGTCTGCTTCCTGCCCACTGAGGGCAAAGGCAAAGCTAAACTCCCCCTGACTTCTCACAGGCTTGGACCATAAAAGCATGTAAGAAACTCCCTCACTATCATCACATGGGAAACCTGGAAAGCGGCCAGGCCAGATGAAGTGACCCGGTCACTGAAATCTGTGTGGCTCTCGGGAGAGACAGGGTTTGCAGTAGCATGGCTGAGCTACCCCTGACACAGCTCTCACCACGGGACCGCCCTGGCTGTCTTCAGCCTTGGGCAGCATCCAGCCAAAGGGAGAAACACGGCCACAGATCTGTAGATAAATGTCCCCCCATATTGCTTGCAGACATTGACATGGTGTCAAGCAAATCTTTAAGGGCATTTGTTGAGACAATTGAGTATCCACACGTGGCTCCACTCTGCCAGTCAAAGCTCAAGGCCAAAGGGCCCCAGTGAGTCCTCCTCTGTTGGACAAAGCACCAGGATCTGCTGGTGGGAAGGCTGAAGCACAGCAGGAACCAACTTGCCAGCAATATGCATATGAACAGAAAAGTTCTCAGCAAAAGAGCCCAAGGAAATAAAAAAAATCTTTATCGAATGTTTTGGGTATGACTGGAATGTCCATAAAAATAAAAAGGGGGTCACAGATTTCCCAGAGTCAGACACAGACTGTCAGGCCTGCTGCTTTCAGCAGCAGAGAATTTCATGACAAAGCACATCTATCAGATTTTTTCAGGCAAGAAAAATTCACACTGAAATCTCATAGATCTATGTTGGGCTGAAAGCTACTGTCATTAAGCAGTGAAAAAGATCCAGGCAACCCCCAACCCCAAAGGATCATAACTCTCAGAGGTAATAATTTCAAGTGACAAGCTCGCTCGCTCCCTGCAGAAAGTACCTGAACCCCAGCCTGGCTGTCTGGGAAAAGAACAGGTCCAGGGCCCTTTGTCATTTCCACCGAAGGCACTGAAACAAAAAGCAGGTAGCAGGAGAAAAAGCAAGGCTCATCTAGCAGAGAAAATTCCTATCAGCAAACCTCTGTCAAGAAATCAGCTAAACTTTCTCACTGAGGCACCGTTCATTTCCCTCACATCTAAAACAGCCGAGAACACTCAACTGATGGCTTAAAATGCAAACCTGCCCAAGGATACGCTCCCTTCTAGCATGGCTTTAACAGGGAACAACGTCTGCATCCTGCCCGACACCCTTGTGCCAGTTGCCCAGACAGCGAGTTACTTCCCAGCAGATTCCAGAGTAGAAGCCAGCTAGAAGGTCCCAGAATAGCCTCTGCCATGCAGATATGTTTTGTTGCACTGTTGTTTTTTAAGGCTTTAGAGGAGTGTCATCTTGGGAGGTATCTGGCTGCTACAGAAAATTAAAACATGACCATCTGTCCAAAACAGGACAAGTTCCTACCCGCCTCCAACTCTGAACAGGGAGTGCAGCTGTAAGGAACTGTCTTACGCAGACACTAGTGCAAGCATTCACTGATGTGTTTATTTTTAAAACAACAGAAAAACAAAACTGCCTTTGTTCACATCCAACCTCTTATCTCCGCTCCAAAATGTTTGTGGTTTGGGCACAACTGGGAGAATGGGAGAGAACTGCAGGCCACACTGCTCGTGACATGCTGGGCTCAGCCTTCCTCTCCCCAGCCTGTCCTGGGGAGCTGTGGACTTGGGAGGTTTCCCCACAGCTGGAGGGAGGATGACACCTCCCCAGCAGCCTTTGTCTGGTCAGCCTTCTCCTCCCACTATCTTCCTCTGCCAAAGTTACTGAAGTTCAGATGTGCAGGTTTGTTCTGCTTCAAGCAACTGACAGCACTTTCCACAAACTTAGAGCACCTGCAGGAACCAAAGAGCTGTTTTTCCTCCCACCCCAGAGCTCCTGGATCTTGGGCCACATCCCAAGTCCAGCACACAAACAGAGAGTTGCAAAGAACCAGCCCGGGGCCACTAGTCAAAAGCCAGGCAAAGGACAGGGCTCCTGAGCTGCCTGCCATGGCATATCCCTGTCTGCAGAACTGGGACTCTTGCCTGCATTTCTGCAAGATGACATTTCTAGTCCTAATGATGAGATTCCCCTTCCTAAAAATCTTCCACAAGTGCAAGATCTGGCGGTAATTCAAAGACTCCTGATGATGTGCTATCCCAGATCTATCTGCAATCCTGCTAAAAGGACTGGCAGCCCCCAAAATCCTGTCTGGCCCAGGGGGCCCAGGCAGTTGCCACCAGTGTGACTGAAGCTACGCTATCAGCTGTACAAACACGTCACCAGTAACTTGTCAGTACCAGCAGCCTCTGGTACCACAGAGAGCACTCAGAAGTGAAATCAATTCGAATCCATGTGGTATTTCTAACCCGGAACCTACAAGTCACCAAGAAATAATTCTCAGAGGACAAGTTCCTCCTTATCTGACCACCCTCTGCCAAAGTTGCTGTGGTTCAAGCTAAGACCCAGACGTGCAGTTCAGCCTGCAGCCAGATCACAGCCAGCACTTCCAGAAACTCTGAGCACCTGCAACCCACCTTATTTTGACTTGTGTTTTACCACTAAAACCTCTTGTCTTGGAGAAAACAACAGCTCCTGACTGCTGCTGGGTTGCGCTAAGAGCTGAGCTATAACACCTGGGCCACACATCACTTCCTTTTGATAAAGCAAAGGCTGAAAAAGCAGCTGTTCTCTAGCAAGTACTACAGCACTGGGATGGGGATGGCGCCAAGAGGGTAAATTCCTCCCCAGTTCTGTAGTTGCTGGACTATGCGACTAGGAGGACGGGAAAATCAGGAATTCTGAAATTAAAATTAAGGCCTGCTAGGTTAACACAAGGGAAAAAAGAAATGGGTTAAAAAAAAACCCAAGTCACATTAAGGGATGGGAAAGGATTTCTGGGTTATTCCAAGAAGACTACCGCTGAAATTAGGGTAAGAGAGTAAAGATGTTGAAGAGCAAGATTCACTGCACATTTGTGCAAAGCTCACACCATGCAAAAAAGATCCACAGATGTGAGTATCTCACCGTTACCCCAAAAATGGGCACTGCTGCTCTAACCTGGCACTGCAGCGATGGTCAGAGTCAGCAGAGCCATCAGCTGATTTTATTGGCAGCTCTTTCAAAAGCCACAGGGCTGGGAAAAAAAGCCACTGCTGATAAATCCAGGTTTCCCTTCAGTTTCAGGGACTGTTGGAGCCCTGTATAAAAATTATCTTGTGTGAGGCATCTTACCCCAGGAGCGGCCTTCCAATAAGCGTGAAGTCGTCAGCACCAACCAGCAAAACCTACGGAAAAGAAATCAAGCCATTTATCACTGGTTCATTGTCCCAGCAGAAATGCAAACAGTATCTTCCAGATTCGGCAGTCACCATAAAGGAGTCAAACTGCTTAAAAATAGACCTTTACCCATTTCAAACCTGACATTGTTACTAGAGAGGGATGGTGGGGAACAGCAGCTACCAGGCAAGAAACAGGTTTATTGAACAGTCTTCCAGGAGAGCTTATCCTACTAAAATTTGCTTTAGAAGTATCTTCCACGTTGATCAGAACACACTGAACCTTTCCATTCTGGCTCACCAGTAGCTGTAAAAGATATGAAAAGCAATACAGGGAAGAAGAATAACATGCCTTGTGTGGGATCTGAACGAATGGCAGCTCATAAAATCACTGGATTTTTATAGCAGCTGCTACATATCCTGGCAGAGAAACACTTTCCTCCACGGACATGGGCAATAAGGAAATGAACATCTGGGGGGGATTCTCCAGCCCAGGGATGCGTCCTTCTGTTTTGGGGCACTCTGACCACACGCCTGTCTAAAGGACCAGGCAGGGTAGCAGGGGATGTGTGAGAAGAGGCAGCATTCCTTGCAGACCTCCTCCTTCCCCATGCTGATCATTCAGCAGCAGCTAGAAGCAACAAAGGTCACAAGCTGTTCTGACTTTTGTTTCAGACAGATGCTTGCCAGTAAAATCCCCAAAGGGTTATGGTGGTTAGGAAGTTTTTCACCTTTTTCACTCCCATATAGACCTTTGCATTCCTAGCTGGCTACTCCACGGAGTCACTCCGCTCTGTTGCGTACAAGGATGCAGGAGCCAGTTGAAGGGACATCTAAAAATCTGCTTCAAAACTGGACTTCAGAGCAGTGGCTGAGTAGAACAACTGCCCGGCTCTCCTCAACTGCTTGCTTGGCTCTAACAACCACCATTAAGCCGACAGAATCCCTCTTCATAATCTTTTGTTTCAGATTCGGATTAATAAGCCTCTACAAGTCCCTGCTAGTTAACCAGGGCTAAGACTATTGAATTGCATCTTGGCAATTCTCCCCTCCATGCACCATCCCACTCCCTCCACCCAACACGCTCAGCCTCAGTGCGATAAGGATCTCACAAAGCACCGGCAGGGACAGTCCCCCTGGGAGTACTGCAAGTATTTTGGGTGTGCGAGTCTCAAGGTAAACACAGTCTTTAGTTGACGTCTCTAGAAACAACAACTATAATTCTCTTTTTTTGGATGAAGTTAGTACAACAAATATTTGTCTCCCAACAGTCTGGCACGACTCATTCCAACCCTGTTCAACAGAATCACAATAATGTTGTCACTAACAGTAACTGAAATGGGAACAAAGCTAAGGCAAAGCAAACAGCTGGAGTGAGAACAGGGGATCCAACAGGAGCTCTTCTGGATGTGTTTTTAAAAACTGGTTATGGGGTTTGTGTCTCAAGGAACATTCACAGGCAATTTCTCTGGCCTCACACACAGCATGGCACGTCACCTTTTCCAACCGGATTCGGTCTCCACATTCAGCCTCCAGTACGTTATCCATCATAATCAAGTCTTCACTGGTTATTTTCCACTGCTTGCTGGCAAAGTGGACCACAGCAAAGAGCCGTCCGTACTGCCCCGTCGCAATCATCTCGTTCACCTTTTGTACCACCTCTGTGGACAAAGAGCAGGGCAGGAATCAGGGCAGAAAACCCAGAAAGGTGTGAAGAGCTGTTCAGAACTCCTTCAGCCACACTGTTCTCCCACCAACACTCTCATCTTCCAGGAATCTTTAAGCAAGGACCAAGAGCAATGACATTTCCTAAAATGTGAGAGCGTCCCTTTCGTGAACTTAATGACCCATTTGTGGTTTAGTTGCTGGCAAACCCATGCATAAGTAAGCACCTAATACACACACTGTGCAGCTAATCTATGACCTGAGTCCTCAGCCTATTTCTTAAGCATCCTACAAGGCTCTGTATTCAGATATAAAGGGCTCCAGACAAATGCACTTGTCCACACATACTATGTTTGGAGGGGAGCTCCCCTCAATGTCCAAGACAAAGGCAGAAGGCCCAGGGCTGTGTAAGGCACGCAGGAACATCAGGAAGAGTTTGGAAACATACACAGGAAAAAGAGTTCCAGCCTACTAACAAAGCCTGGCCTGAGAACCTGTACCCACAGCAAAGCCAAGAGAGACCGTCCCCTCACTCCCTCCCAGAACATCCCTTCCCCTGGGCACACACCCACCGAGCAAGATCCCAGGGATGAGCTCCTGAAAATGAACAAACTTCATTTTCTGCGATCAGCTTCCTGAGCAGCAAAGCCAAACCAAATTTTTTATGGGAACACCAAAAGGTGTTGCTTAATGAGTGTCATTCCACTATCAAATAGTAGCTTTCCATCCCCTTGAGCTGGTCAGAAAAGGAGTAACTTTTTTATAACTGGAAAAATAGATTTTCTTTATCGTCCTCAGAAGTGGCTGAATCATTTTTTCTTGGAATGTAAATCAAACAACATCCATTTGGAACAGACAGGAATTTAGCACCCAGTCAAACCAACCCCAGTCCTTACAGGAACACTCTGAAAGTGTCCCAGGATTCAACCCAGAAGATGCAAACTATTAAAGGTAGAGGTGAGAACAGAAATTATTTGCAAGGCAGTAATCGGTGCAGTTCCTACTACAATGAAGAGTTTAGTTTCTGTGTTGCTGGAACTGCTGTCCCAGGAAAATCCACTGTGTGCTCTTCCCTGATTCACAGTGTCCCACTACAGAAAGTGTGGAGAATACAAACCCCTTCCCTTCGTTACACCCTCAACTGCACAACAGGTACAAAAATTTCTTCCAACTCTAAACTGCTGCTCTAGGTGTATCAGTAGTCCTGTGGTCAATATTTCAAAACGCTGGCCTACAATTTTCTCTTAGCAAAACCCATGCAGAGTCATGCTCTAACAAGGGTTATTTCCTTGACAAATTTCAGCTTTCTACCCATGGCACTTTCTCGTCTTTTTGTAACCAAAAGAGATACATTTTCTTCACTGTACCTGGGCTCTGAAGTTGTCAATAACTCTTCCAAACACCTCTGGTGACAGGAAACATGAAGTGATGTCACCATCTGATCACTAATATGGCTCCCATCTCTGCACCCCTGGAGCGACCCTTCTGAAAAGATCCGTGGCCGTTTCCACAGCCAGCAGGAGACTAGAAGGCGGAATTCAAATGCTCTCGCTGTTGTGTGCGTTGGATGAGCACAGCCAGAAGATAACGAGGCAAGCTCATCAACAGTAGGAGGTTACAAGGCACGGAAATGGCAGTGGCCCTGAGGATCCCATGTGAATCAGTCAGGGGAATGTGGGACCCTGCTCCCCACGGGGCTTCAGCAAATCAAAGCCAGCAGTTTATGGTTCATTCTGGGGTCAAACCACGCTCAGGGACAGAGTGCTCCTCTGTCAGTTGAGCAATCCCAGGAGCGCAAAGGAGATAAAAAGCAGAAATAGAAACAGCCAGAGAGGAGACCTGGAGCAGGAGGCTCTCTCCAAAGCACATCACTCGCCCAGTTATTAACACAGATGACAGGAGACTATCTGCTAAAGGCAGACACAACGCAGCTTTTCTCCTCTCACTCCATCCTTGGAAAAGAGCTCCTCTACTTCACCCCCCAGCTCTCCCAGCTAACACAGAGAAGTCGGGTGCCTTTCACAGACATCCCAGAGGCTAACTCGCTGCAGGAGCTCGCTGCCTGCACGAAGAACATGCTGCTAATTGCCGCCACACCATAAAAGCAATTCACCCGCTGGGGCTCGTTACTGCCAGTGCTGAGAACCACCCCCCAGGTTGGATTCCCCAGCGCCAGCCCCAGCAGGGTCTGGGCGACAGCAGCCCCACCCGGGAAGCACGAGGCCAGACACACACACCTTCTCTGTTTTGATTTTCACACTCCAGCCGCCAGGGGAACCTCTGCCTGGCTACGGGAAGGCTCAGCACTGAGGACGACTGCTGGAGCGCTACAGGCACAACCTGGAGCACGGGGCCGACCGCTGTACAGTCCACAGGCTCCCTTCAGGAGGGCCACTGCCTGCGCCCAGCACATCCGACAAGATGAGGGGACAAGAATGTCTTCACTAACACCATGTCACTTCCCAGCTGCTCGCTTCCTTCTGTCACACCTCTGCAGCTCTGCCGTGTGCCCACCATCCAACTGCTTTGCTGGCTCTCGTGTTCTGTTTGATGCACCAAAATACACCAGCTCCCTGACGTGCCCACCATCCAACTGCTTATGTTGGCTTTAGCTTTTTGATTTATCCATTAAAAGAAAAATAATTGTTTTCTCCCATCCAAAAGGCTTGTTTCATGCTTCAGAAAGCAACACACCCCATCAGGTAAGACTGCTCTGGGAGTGTTACAAGCTGTCATAAATGAAGGAGACCTCATATTCCACCCAAATCTCCCAACAGCAGCAGCTGCAGCACAAATCCAGAGACACTAACACATACCAGAAATGAGACAAAAATCTCAAAGAACAAAAACTAGCTCCAGTCATTGAAGACACTTACGAATGCTCGGTCAGGCCACCAGTGATAACACTGGAGTGCTCCTCTCCACTTGGAGACTGAAAAACTTTACCTGCATGATACTTCGCTTCTTCTACAGGATCTGGAAGTTTCACTTCAGGCCATGGGGGTGAACTCAGAGATGTTTTGGCAACAAGTCTGTGAACGATAAGGTGAGATTCACTTGTAGCAAACAAATATTGTCAAGAGATGTGAAACATGAAGGGAAGAAAAAAGGTAAAAGAAGTTGGAGGTGGAGTAGACAGGGGTTTTCGACTAGGGAGCAGAAGCTGTACAGGAGACTTAACGATTTGTCAGTTTGAAAGAGTTGACACAAAGCCCACTTGGGCTGGAAGCAATTTCCAACAGACCATGTTTTGCCTTGTAGAGGCTCATGAGCAAGGAGAGATTTTCTATTCCAGTCTCAAGTGTTAGGGACAGAGGGTGACAGGCAGTGCACAAAGCCATATTACCTCCCTAGGCCTTAACCCAAGGGAGTACACTGGCCATGGCAAAGTCCTCAGACCTTCCCCTCCCAACGCCTGGCAAAAGCACTCCAGTAGGACAAGAAATGCTGCGGAAGTGCTGAAGCTGCAGCCCCTATCAGAAGGCTGTTCAAAAACATGCACAAAACACCTGGTCTCGTTTCTGAGTTCAACCTGCAAACGCTCCACTAAACACAGTCACTGCTCCCAGGGCTTAGCATCATTTAGGTCCCCCATGAATTGCAGTAAATTTATGGAAAAGGAATAAACACCTCAGTGGTTGGTTTGCTTTAGTCCCACCCTATCATAAACTTCACTACGGGGAAATAGATTTTTTTTTTTTTTTTTACTCCCAAGTAACATTCTGAAGTGGAAGTAGTTTGAAACAAAGCAAGAGTGCAAAAACAGATTGAAGATTAACTGAAAATCAACCCAGACTAGGTTATTGCTTGTTCCTGATGTCGAGATCAGCAGCTAGATGTGCTAGTGGTGATCCAGCCCAGTGGCCACCGGTGACTTTCCACCATCTTGTTTTTTACAGACCTGAGTTTTGTCACCAACTCCAATGGAGACAGACCTACCTCAAGCCTTGCTTACACCTCAGTTTTATCTAAAAGGCTCTTGTTAAGCTTTTCCAGGTATAGACACAAGTTACCTCCAACACAGCTGAGAGGCTAAACACGTTAAGGCTCCTCAACACCCTTCAGCAGCGAGTACAAAGCCCTGAAGTTACCCGACAGCAGGGAGCATCTGGGGAGGCAATGCGCCTTTGATGGGGAAGAAGGGCTAATGTGCACTCAGCCAGCCTTGAGCGCTACACACGAATGACTCACAAGCCGTCCTTTTTTCCTCTATTTTTTGAAGCTCTTCCCTGTTAAATAGATGGTTTAGAGAGACTTAAGACCACAGCTGGGTTCTTTACAGGAGTTATGAGGCTGCTCTTCTTTTGTCACTTACAGCTGCGTTCCCTGAATGGCAGTAACAACAGCTTCTCCCACCCCCGGTGCCATTCAGCATTTAACACCACAAACTTTTAGCCCAGAAACCTCTTCTGTGCCCTAACCGTGTCTGCCTCCAAGCCACACCACCACACTGGGGAAGGACTGGCAGAGACCCCTATCAAGGCTTTCCAGCCCCACGCCTCTTGGTTCAGACTGACCATGGAAGGCAGTGGGAGTATGCACCATTCCACAGCCAGCCAAGCACAAGCACCGTTCCTCATGATGACTCTGAGTGCCAAGATATTTTTCTAAAAAGGTGCAAATTAAATCCTTATTCTTCCTGAAAGGGCAGCTTCCACTTGTGACAGAGAACTACTTTAACAATAACTCTTCCAAACACTCTGCAACTGTACCAGTGAGGCAAGAGCCTTGCTGTTTCAAGATGTTGTGTCAGTCCCTGAATACCTTCCTGATGACCAGGGCAGTGGCCTCCCAAGCATCACAACGCGTCTCTGTAGGATTAGCGAGTACCGATACCTTCATGGCAGCAACGACAGCTCAAACTGCACCAGCACCCACATGACCAGTTCTCTGCAGAGGAGAACTTACCTGAAGTCTGCTAGACTTTCTATGCTTAGATGCTGCTACCCTACTTACTGAAAAGGGTCTGTGGCTGCCACAACATGAGACACCTTCAGTTCAGTGAATAAAGTGGTGGCTGAAGGCAAGCAGGCTACACAGGGATACAAAACAAATGCCTGAAAACTGCCAGGGGCGTTCCATTGAGCAGCCAGCAACATGTTCTCATTAGCTGCCATGGGGGATTCTGTCTGCTTTTCTCAGGATTATCACTGGAGGGGGATCCCCTGCCTCCAAACCGAACTATTCCCACCTGCCTCAAGCCCTGCAGTCAATACTGCAGGTCTTTGTGCACATGCACTGTCGTTCTTGACAGTGGCACAGGCAGCACTAAATCATGAGAACCCCGCTTAAAACATCAGAGCTGAACAGCAATTAATGCTGTTCAAATGTGCCACAGGGTGTTAATTTGAAAATGAAACACTACGTGATACTCAGTGTGAGTCTGAGCAGAAAAAATGCAAATGCCACTTGCTTATAATTAGCTGTTTTTCAAGATCTCTCGGACAGGGAGTGACAACAAGGAGGACCAGAGGCAGTTGTTTACATCCCTGCATAACAGGCAGTTACAAAATCTATTGATTTGTTCCCAAAGAACCGGGGAGAAAAGCACCCCTCTAAGCAGGGACAGTGCTTTGCACAGGCAGTGCTTTCATCAGAACCATGGTAGGTGGCCCAGGGGGCAGGGGAGGAGGTAAGAAGCCCATCCTGTGGCACTCAGAGCTTCTCCTGAGAAGTCCCAAATGCCTTTACTCAGAAAGAGACACATGACCAAAGGGCACCAGGTTACTAAGCAAGGATCTACAATACCACAGAAACAATCTTAGATTTAAGGAGGAGGGAGATTCACCCTGGATCTCAGTGAGGTGACCAGAAAGGTAGCAGTTTCTGAAATTTGAAGAGAAAGCTGCTGCTCAGTAAAGACTGTCCCCATCAGAAAGGAAAGTTCAGAATTCCTTGTGCGTGGAGATCCAGGCTTTCTGTGAATAACACAGGATGCGCCAACTGCCCAACAGAAAAAACCATCAGGCGTTAGTGAAAGATGGCAAAATTCACACCAGAGCAGTTGCATTTGATCGGTTCATTCTGTAATGCCCAGCAATACCTGTCAAAGGGCTTTAGTTTAGCAGAAGCTCAAAGCACCAATGAGGAAGTACATAACCACAAGCACCATGGCTTCGTGGGTCTGCTGTGGATTGAGCGGTAACATCAGGTGCTGTGTCACGGAGGCAGAGATCCAAACCCTGTTCCCACACAGTCAAGGAGCAGCGGGCAGAGGCCACTCCTGCACCCTTCAGCGGCACAGAGGGAAGGAGTCAATCTTGGCATTTTCCGCCCCGATGCCGCTGCTCGCAGTTCTCCATTTCTGCAGTGTCCCCTCCTGGTTAAGGCAAGCAGCAGCACCGCCTGCAGCTCTGTCTTGCGAGATCCCAGCAGAAGAAATAAAATACACGAGCAAGCAGCTCTCAAAGTGCTAAAACAAATGAAGCCTGAAGGTTTCCTGGCCTGGTGTCCTGTGGTGCTTGGGCTGTAAATCCCATTTTATGAAGACCGCAGCACATGTTCAGTATTTATCAGATATTGGAGATGAACCTTGCCTGAGGAGCAGGCTACCAGCACCTGAAAAGATGGGGTCAGCTGAAATCCCTCCTGCAGTCAAGAACTTGAGTGGCTTCTTTGCTGTCTACTACAGGCTGAATCCACACCACAGCCCTTTTCTCATTGGATGATCTAATTACCTGTCTCTAGCTGCTTAATTTCACAAATCAGCCAAAGCATCCTTCTGGCAAAGGTGACTGGAGGTAGGCAGAGTCCAAAACTTACTGGGAAGCAACAGACTGGCAAAAGGGTCAGATAAGCCTTTCCAAAGGAAAAACCAGCTGCCCTCCCCACCCAGGAAAGTCAGCATTTCAAGGGCAAAAAGCAAAGTAGAAACTCATGTGACATTACCCTTGCTGCAGTGACGTGCCCTGGGAACTCTGGTGCCGAACCGCAGATGAAAACAAGAAGGCTAAAAGGGAGAGAGAGGAAAATAATTAAAAATAAGCAGCAACTGCTGGGCCTTTAGTCCCTGGTGAGGCAGCACTACAGCAAGTGTCACAGCGCTGGTTGGCTTCATGGTACCATTTTTCTGCCTGTAAAAGCTTTGTTCGGTTTTATCACGACAGGCAAAGATGAGGCAGGGAGCAAAACAAGTCACTTGGTAAGAGAAAGGACCCATCAGTTGTATGAGCATTGCAAGAGAGCACAAGGAAGGCCTCCCTCTGCAAGCACACTTACCTCAAGTGACACTTGCAGCAAGACAACAATTGGATGTGGTTATACCCAGAGCATCTTACCTCTTGGAAAACAACATGACCACAAGGCAGAGGGGAGGAAGAGGTGGTCTGAAGAACACTGTGCTGCACTCTCTTAATTCTGAGCACTCATTGGTGCTGCTACAAGGATCATTTCCAGCCCTCTGCGCCCTCCAAAACAGGTAGGGGAGCTATTACACAACATTTACCAGGTGATTCTCAGCAACTTCTGCTAAGCCTGACAAAGCTTCACTCCACAGAGAGGAGGAAGACAAGGAGCATTGCCAGCCACTCACTGGCCCTGTAGCTCCCAAGCAGACACTGCGATGCTAGGTGAAACACAGTGAACTGGAGAAGCAGGGCAGATTCAGCAGATTTGCGTCTGATACTCCTGTGCCTGGCTTTTCACCACCCCAGACGTGCCTCTTCCTTCTAGAAAAGGGGAGTGGAGGAGCTACGTGGCTGAACAAGTCACAGCAACAGAAGATGGGAATTCAGCTTTTCAGAGCTACCTACACAAGAGCTAGCGTTCACCCAAACGCTGCAACTGTGTTACCACTCCAGTATACAAATCTCCAGAGGAGTGGTTTACAACTTAAATTACATTTTGAGTGTAGCTTCAGCATTTTTTGGAAAGGAGCTGGGCCCACACACATGGTTAATTAACAAAAGGAGATGAAGGCCAAAAAACCACACACTCAGGGATTTATCCCCATGTTACCTCAGGGATAACAATCCCCTTTCTGGAACAAGGTGCTTAATTAAATGTCAGACTGTGCACAGCTGCTCTGCAGGAACATTCCCCTTCTCACTCACCATCCAAAGTGTGACTGATACAAGGGACTAGCAAGACCTCTTAAAGCCAAACTTACTTAATCACCCTACCTGCAGAAGCCACAGTTCACCAAGATTACACTCACCTGACACAGAAACCAAACCCCGATGTGAAGCCAGGGCCCCGGAGACCCCCAGCCTGCCCCCACCACAAACACCCTACCAGCTTCCCAGCCCGGTGAGGAAGGGAGGAGGTTGATGGGAGTCCCTACGGCCCCCCCCCCC